CACTTTTGAAGCTCCCAATTCTCTGGTCTTGGTAAAGTTGCCACTTTGTGTCCTTCTGTTGCAGGAAATTCATTCAGGTAAGTCCATTGCAATTAGCTGTCTTTGGGATAGTTGTTTAGAAACTTAAAGACTTATTTTATTTCATTCTAGAAGTGGGTCTCATGTAACCCAGCCTGGCCTTGAATTCCCTTTGTACCCCTGGATGACCTTGAATTCCTTATCTTCCTGCTACCTCCACCTCCTGAGTGCAGCACTGTAGTGACAGGCTGGCATGTATGACGTATGTGGTGTAGGGGATGAGGCTAGAGTCTCCTGCATGCTAGGTAAGAACTCAGCTCATCCAGCTACAGCCATGTGTGTGTGCGTGCATGCATGCATGCATGTTTTGAGACAAAGTCTCACTGGGGAGCTGAGAGAGTCTTGGTTTCATTGCAATCCTCCCATCTTGGCCTCTTGACTTCTGGCTTTACAGATATATGCCATTGTATCTGACTTAAAATTTTTTAAAGTTGCTGGGCATGGTGGCCTAGGCCTTTAATCCCAGCATTGGGGAGGCAGAGGCAGGTGGATCTCTGTGAGTTCGAGGCCAGCCTGGTATACAGAGCAAGTTCCAGGACAGGCCCCAAAGCTATAGAGAAACCCTGTCTTGAAAAACCAAAGCCAACCAAGGAAACAAACAAAAGAACAACAGAAATCATGCTGGCATGACCTCCGTTAAGCGGGCAATGGCTATTGCTGTGCTGTGCAAGCCAGCCTTAGTCCCACCAGTAGAACCTATGTCAGGGCCGAAGCAGAAAGCCCACTCCACAGAAACATTTTCTGCCCTCCACATCTGTCTGCCACTCACGCCATTCCATACTAAAAATGGAATACATAAAACTCTATAGATCTGAAAAAACTCTGTTCCTGTACACCCCGCAGGCACTCCCTCCCACATCAGCATTAAACTGCAGGAGACTTTGAGCCTAGTTGACCTTCCTGCTGTCCGCGCAGCCCAGTGTTGTTCCGGGCTCTGGCCACCGCCATTCTTCCTTCTTGGGTATGTGGATGGGGGGCACCTTTTAGTCCCCAGCGAGGGCCCCCCACCCGCATCCCAGCAGATAGCTCCTCCCCTGCCCAGCGGGAATCCCGCTGCTGCTGGTGTTTTGTCTCCCTCTAGTGGCTCTGTGCAAGCGCTGTTGGAACGCGGAGGTCCTTGACTAGCCCTACTCCAGAGGCCCGGCATTAATTCTGCCCGGTGCAGGGTAACCCCAGCGACACACCACTCCACACAGAGGAGGAGAGTGAGTCTGGGAGAAAGGAGTCGGTGGGTGGCAGGGTTGGGACATTGTCCCCAGCTTGGCTTGAATTCTCAGATAGGACAGCAAGTGGGAGAGTGGACCCACCTGAAGCTTTCACTTTTTGGTTACAAGAGCCAAGAAGCCAGTTTGAGTCGTTTTGGTTGCATTGTCTTCTTCTTTCAAAAGCCCTGTGGCTGTTTGTTCCCAAATTCAGTCCTCATGCATCAAGCCACTGATCGGCTCTGTGACCCCCAAGGGAATCAGGCAACCTCTTTGATCTCCTGAGCCCACCTGGGGCATATTTCAGACATCCAGGGTTTCCCCTAAGCTGCTGTGGAATATTATTTTAACGAGGCAATGAATGTTGGGTTATTATGTGTTTATGCTGTAGAACATTGGCTTAACTGTGTAGAGGCATGCTGCATTTGTTTAATTAGGATGCATTGCATTTGTCTCACCTTGCCTGTCTAACGGCCTCATTGGCCTAGTAAAGAGCTGAACAGCCAATAGTGAGACAGGAGAGGGGTAGGCAGGGCCGGAGGGCAGAGAATAAAAAGAGGAGAGAGAAGGAGGAAGGAAAGATGAAACAAGGGAGGAAGAGAGCCAGCCAGACACAGACCAGGATGTACACAAAGGTAAAGTGCCCAGAGGCAGATAGTAGATAACGAGGAACAAGTTAGGCAGGCCGGTGGTCACACACACCTTTAATTCCCGCACTTGGTTGGCAGAGGCAGGTGGATCTCTGTGAGTTTGAGGCCAGCCTGGTCTACAGATCCAGATCGAGTTCCAGGACAGTCTCCAAAGCCACAAAGAAACCCTGTCTCAAAAAAAAAAAAAAAAAAAAAAAAACAGAGGGGGGTTAATTTAAGTTAAAAGAGGTAGCCAGGAGCTGGAGAGATGGCTTAGAGGTTATGAACACTGGCTGCTCTTCCAGAGGCCCTGAGATTCCCAGTAACCACATGGTGGCTCACAACCATCTGTAATAAGATCTAGGGCCCTCTTCTGGTGTGCAGGCAGAACACTGTATACATAATAAATAAATAAATCTTAAAAAAAAAAAAAAGAGGTAACCAGAAAAAAGCCTAAGCTAGGCTAAGCATTCATGACTAATAATAAGTCTCCCTGTCATGATTTGGGAGCTCGCTGGTGGCCCAAATGTAAAAGCCTGGTACATAAGGCAAGCTCATACATAAATGATGCTCATGGAATGGGGTTTCCTCTTAACGTGTTGTGACATGGTATCACATAGGCTTTGCTCATAATTGGAGGTGACAGCCTCAGTCAGCCCCAAAGACCTAAGTTTGCACCTGAGGAGACCCAGGACCTTGAGTCCTCAGTTTCCTATCTGTGCTTGGCCTTCTCAGAGTGGCTGGAACCCCAAGACCCTGCAGAGACAAGCACCAGCCTGGAACCTGGGAAGGGGGCTCCAGCCATGTGTGTAATGCAGCAAGGGGCTGCAGATCAGGCACATGCTGATATGCTCCTGCCCCAAAGACGCTGGGCCACCCTAGATGGAGGCAGCATCAGGCCTGAGCCATCGGTGCCAGGATGGGAGGATGATGAAAGACCACAAAATCGGGCAAGGGAGACAGAGGGAGAGAATGGGGGATGGGGACACAATCTCTTCTGGACTGTGGGGTGGCAGGTGGCCCAGCCCTATGTACTCTGTGGTCACTAAGGGGGATGAAACTGTGGCCTGAGCCAGGCCTGTGTTGTCTCCAGCCAAGAGATGGCACTCAGGATCCTCAGTGTTGTCCCTAGGGCTTCTGGAACATGATGCTGAGGCCTGAAGAGCTGAACAGATCTCGACGTGGAGAGAGAACATCCATAGAAGGCTAAATGAATGAGGCTCCAGCCACACATGGATCTAACAGCACAGCCTTGGCCAAGTGCCCTGTGCAAGGCTGACCCATGCAGCAGACCTTTGTGTGTGCACATGAATGTGCATGCACGTTTCTCATGTGTGTGGGTGAACATATGTGTGCATGTCGAGGCTGGAGATGGAAACCAGATTGTCTTCCTTAATGTCCTCCACCTTGTATATTAACACACGGTCCCTTAAGAACCCAGCGATCATGGATCTGACTAGTCTAGACAGCCAACTGACTCAGCTCCTCTGTATGAGGGTGACTCGTGAGATGCCATGCCCACCTGGCATTTACACAGGTCTGGGCATCCACACATGGATCCCCACCCTTGTGTGCTGAGCATTTTGCCCACTAAACCACCTCTCCAGTCTACCACAGGGAGCTAAGCAAATGTGATTGCTGATTAATGAAAAAGAGGGGTGTCTGGACACCCTACTGAAGGTTCCAGAGACTCCCACCACAGAAACCCAGGGTGCTGGAGCTCTGTCACCTTCTGCAGTAGAAGGGACCCTGCAGATGGGCTCAAATTGAAGACCCTGATTATGGGATCATCTTGGATCATTCTCAGTTTAGTGTCAACACAGGGTCCCCAGAGGGAGGCAGGAGAGATAGGGAGACACCATGCTGCCAAATCTGGAGAGTAGGGAAGGGGCTACAAGCCAAGGGGACCAGGGCCTTCCCACACGGATCCCTGTGGGAAGAGGCTGATCTGCTCTCTCAGGTTACCTCTGCCTAGATGCTGTACCCTGCCAACCCCTGCCCCCAGTCCACTTGGGATGATCCAGTCTCAGCCCTAGCTATTTCCAGCCCACATCTACCATGCACCTCACATGGGAGCCATCAACAGCTACCAAGAGGGACAGAGAGAGTTAAACTGTCTCCAGCTGTTTCCGGTGGAGCACCCACCCTCACTGTTCATCTATGGCTTCTCTTAGCTTGTCCACTACAGAGGGTACTTGGCCAAGTTACCTGTCATGGCTGCTCTTGGTTGTCAACTTGACTACATGTGGAATGAACTACAATCCAGAAATGGAGCTGAATGGTGGAGGCATTTACCTTTGATCCCAGGACTCAGGAGGCAGAGACAGGTGGAACTCTGTGAGTTCGAGGCCAGCCTGGGCTATAGAGTGAGTTCCAGGACAGTCTGGAAAAACAAAACAAACAAGCAATACACACACACACACACACACACACACCCCAGAAAACAAAACAAAAATCAATCAAGAAATGGATGGCACACCTGTGAGAGGGTTTTTTGTTTTGCTTTTTGCTTGGTTTGAAGTGGTTGAATCCACTTCTAGTCTGGACCTTTGAGGCAGGTAGATACACCTTTAATCTGAGCCACACCTTCTGCTGGAAACCTGTAGAAGAACATGGCAGAAGGAAGCTCCCGCTCTCGGCCTGCTTGCCTCACCTCGCTGGCACACCCATTCCTCACGGATTGAGAAACTGCTGGATTCTTAGACTTTCTGTGTTGGATTAGTTGAACCACAACCTGTAAGTCATTCTAACAAATCCTCTTTATATGTATGAGTATGTATGTATGTATGTATGTATGTATGTATGTATGTATGTTCGTTCATTCTATAAAGTCTGTTACCCTAGAGAATACTTTTGCAGATGTCGTCTTCCATTCAGTCATCTTACTCAAGCCCTTCTCTGTTTAAGAACACGTCCCTGTGTCCCCGTCACCTTCACTAGAGTAGCCTCCCAGCCCTATTGCCCAGCTTTCCCAGGACCTTAGTCCAATTGGAATTCATGTCCTGAGGGGACAAAGGCTGATGTCACCAAGATGAATGAGGTGGATGGAGGAGGACAGGGGCTGTGAGTGGTGCATTCCTTACTCCAGGCAGGCAGCTCATAACAAGTTTATTTCATAGCAACATGGACAAGTCTGGGGATGGCAAGACTGGAGTGGCAGGTCCCTAAATCGAGCCCTCTTTCTGTTGGGTGATAGATCTGGGCTCTGCACCCATTGGCACACCTTGCACTGGGGCTGAGGGCTGTAAGGGGCAGCCCTGGACCCAAGGCTCCCAGGACATTACATTCTGTGGTGGGCAGTCTGGTTCCCTCCTTGAACCCCAGAGCATCTGGCAAAGTCTTAGGTATACAGAGTCCTGGCAGAATTATCATTTTAGCCCTAGCTGAGAATCACCCCTAAGCAGGAAATACTTCCCACCCCAGGAAAACAGAACCAATTTCCAGGCTACAAATGTCAGCCTGGGCCAAGTGTGAAGCGAGGCTCTCCAACTGTTCGCTTAGATAGGGACTTGCCTGGCACTGGCTGCAGAGGCTTGGGCAGGTCTGGCAGCTTCCATGGGCTCGGGTTGGACAGAGGGGAATGGATGTTCTCATTTGTAGTCTCAGTCTTCATCCTCACTGGCATAGATGCCTGCTTCCCAGCGCTCTGCCAAGACATTCTTGTGTCTTGTTACCCGAGTGGCTCCAAGGACCTGCACACAAGGAATTGTGGAGTCCCCCTGGAGATATGAACCATTCCCAGCTGCCTCCCCATTGCCAATGTGCAGGAGGGTCCGGCACAGAGCTGAGGTGAGAGCCTTCCCCCCCTGTTTCACTCTCTCTCCTCTGAACAATATGTCCTAGGAACCTGCTAACTTCTGTTGAGCTCCACAGCAAGGAAATTGTGCCCAGCCTCAGCCCAGAAGGGTCACATCTATAATCACAGTACTCAGGAGACTGAGGCAGGAGGATTATGAGTACAAGGCCATTGTAGCTTACATAGCAAGCTCCAGGCAAGCCAGGGCTTCATAGTGAGACTATCAATAATAATAATAACAACAACAACAATAAATAAAGCCTATTTGTGCTCTACCTGTTGAAGTCTTTGTCTCCTGTTTTGTTTTGCTTTGTTTTAAAGCCTCACAGACCTTTTTGCCATAATCTGTGCCCATGGCAGGTATCACAAGCAGACCACAGCACAATCTACCCCAGGAAGACTCTACCAACAGAGACGATATCCAGTGCAGTCTTATATCCAGAAGAAAGGCTCTCAGTGACCAGACCTGTGGTCAGGGTATTGACAGGAAGGGACAGACTAAGACCTCACTCACCTCTGAGTTGACACGGTCTGAGGGGTTGATACCGGCATACTGCATGACAAGAACAAGAATCAGGGTCTGTCCTTTCTGCCCAGCTCCCGTGCCCACCCGAAAGTCCTCACATAGCTGAATCACCTCCTTAGGGACAGGTGGGGAGAGATACCTAACTGCTGGTGCTCCCCCAGGGTCCCGTGGTTGCCAAACTCAAGGCCATGTGCCATGCTGTCCTGACACACTGATCAACTCACTGCAGCATCTTGCCAACAGTGTCCATATGTAGTCTCAGTGTATCAATCAGAGTGAGGACTGCCTGTGACAGGCCCTAGTCCCAGCACATGGCACAGTTCATCTACAGGGAAGCACTCATGGTTACCATCATGCTGATTTTCCAGAGGGGTAAGAGTGGGGGCCACCACCTGCCTGCACTTGAATCTGGGTCACTGGGCCCATCTGTGCGGCACACCATGGTGGGGGTCAGACTGTGAGGCCAGGTGGGTAGGCTCACATGTGTGTCTTTCTCTGTGCCGTCCCTTGGACCCTCCCAGCATGGCTGCAGTAACTACACTTGAAATCAGACTGATTTGTGAGCTCAGTGGCCACAAAGATGCTGAAGATGTGATTTCTACGGCCCACCAGCAGGGTGTGGCACATCCCATGACTGTGGGGGCCAGGGAGATGGGTTAGGGAGTGAGACCCCTGCCTGGAAAGTGTGAGGACTTGAGTTCAAACCCTCAGAATGCATGTGAAGCTGAAAGTGATAGTGAGTGTCTGTGATCGCTTTGTTCTGTGGGGGTGGGAGGAGAGTCGGCGAAAACGCTGGGCCAGGGAGCCTGGCCACACAGCAGCAAAGAGACCAAGTCTCAAAGAAGGAAGGTGGGAAACCAAACTGGGGGTTGTCATATGACCTTCACACACGCACAGCGGCACTCAGGTACACACACACACACCTTTTGAAAATAATGGTATTGGATGGTAGTGGCACACACCTTTAATCCCAGCATTCAGGAGGCAGAGAGGCAGGTGGATCTCTGAGTTTGAGACCAGCCTGGTCTACAGAGTGAGTTCCAGGACAGCCAGGGCTACACAAGAGAAACCCTGTCTCGAAAATAAAAAACAAAAACAAGAAAGAAAATAATTGTGTTGTACATAGCAGTACACAGTTTAAACCCTAGCACTTGGGAAGCAGAGGCAGAAGGATCTCTGTGAGATCTATAGACTGAGAATCTGTCTCAAAAACTAAAATCAAAATGATGGCAAAGACCAGTCAATATCTGTTTTCTTCCTCATCAACCTTTGGCCTTTGACCTTGAGGATGAGCCCACAATAAGGACAATGTCCTTTGCTTGTGTGTCCTCTCAGACTAGAAACCAGGGACCAGATGAACCCACAGGTAGCAAGCAGTTATACTGCTGTCAACTCAACTCACCCGCATCTCCTTTTTTGTTTTCTGTCTGGAAGCACCGTCCTTAGGGGCCTGCACCTTCCACACCAGGCTCGAATGCAACTGGATGGGGGTGAATAATGGTGATTCCGACACCGAATAGCTGCCAGTGATGCCTGTAGTGGGGGCAGAGGAGGATGTTCTGTTTATCTGCACTCAAGCCAGGAGATTGGGGTCTCTAGGCAAGAGTCTGGAGGGCTTATGGAGACAGGTGAACAGATGGTGGACAGGCAACTGATTGTGACACATTCATTGGCTGAAAGAGACACTCAGGAGAGATTTTTTAGATAGACTGTAGGCCAAAAATACCATGAAGTGAGATGGAGAATATGTCATTAACAAGGAGGAGCAATCAACCAAGAAGATAAATAGTTGCAAACTTATGTGGGTCCAATAACAGAGCATTCAAAACCATAAAGCAAAATATGCACTTAACAACAGCATTCAAAAACTCTAAAGCAAAAGTTGGCATTTTCTCTCCAGAAACTACTTCCTAGGAGAAATGGGTGTGTTTTAAACTCTGCCTCTGCCTCTCCTCCTCCAACCCTGAGACCTCAGGACAGAATAGCTATCCTCTGAATCCTTGCTCACCAGATGCCTGGGAGGAACTCCGGGAGTCTTGCTCATCCTGATCCAGCACTGGGGAGAACACCTCTGGAAAGAAGGCATTCCTCCGCTCTTCGGCCACCTCTCTCTCCCTCTGCAGGACGCTCTCCACCTCCCTTTCCAGCAGGTCAGAAGATGGTGATTTTTGTAGCTTCAACACTGGGCCCCCAGGCACCTCCCAACCCCAGGTATGGGAGGTCTCAGCCTGCTGGGGGACATCTGGGACGCTGAATCGCAGTGGACGCAGGTGGAAATTCTCTAATTGCACAATACCCACACTGGCATGCTGGGACTTCTCATGGGACTTCAAGTGCGCTTGTTTTGAGCTCGGAGAACTTACAGAGTATTCTGAGACATGCCTTGGAGATCCCCCAGCCTTCTGGAACGCCAGGGCTTTGGTGTCCTCTGTGAAGACACCATTTGGCTTGCTGTATACTCCAAAGGCCGAGAATTCCAATTTAGGGGTCCCTGGCCCCAGATACGGCTGGTATGCATCTGGTGGGATCCGGTTGACCTTTCTTGCCTCTGGAGCCGGGTCTGAGGCTCGGGCATCTGGGCTGAGGATGTAGTCGGAGCTCAGGCTTCTCTGGAGTCTAGGCTGAGGATCCTGGGAGGTCCAGTCGGGGGTGGACGCCCTACCTACCTGCAGACCCTCCCGGCGATGGTCTTCTTCTCTCTGTGTCTCCTGCACCATGTCCCTTTGCACGTAGAGTGATGGGCGTCCTCTGTCTCTGCGTGCTGGCAGCTCTGTCAGGCTCACCTTGTTGAGCAGTGGCCTGCTGGGAATCTGAACCAGCTCTTGATGCCCGGCAGCATGCCCAAGCCCTCTCTGCTCCCGCAGCTCTGCCTCACGCTCCTGGGCCAATCTGATCTCTCTCTCGATGGGTGTCTCTTTGGGGGTCTCAGGGGACTCTGCTCGGGTCCAGTGGCCAGGGTCGTTGGCTGCACGAATGGACCCAGCTGGGGATACATGGACAGTCTTCTTTTCTAAAGTCACCTCCTTCGCTGGTGACATGGCAGGAATGGCATAGCCATTAGCTATGTGGGGCCTGGTAGAGGCCTTGGGGGCCTGGCTGACCCCTGGTGGGATATTCGCAAAGGTCTCCTTGGCTGTGGGGCTCCAAGTAACCGGGTTCGTGTTTGCCTTCTCCAAACTCAGAAACTGCTGTCGAGCAGCCAGGAAATCAATTTGCTCTGTGTCCACCAAGATCTCCTCAGTGGACATGGGCTGAGGCTGGCCAGCGGGTCTGCGCTCTTCCTGGAGTGTGGCTACTGTGCCACCCTTCCTGATTGCCTGGCTGTGGATGACGGCCCAGCGCTCGGCCTCCAGGTCCCTCGGTTGGCTGCAGAGGGCATCGCTGGTATCCAGGTGGTATGCCTTCATCTCTTCATCCTCATCCTCCAAGTACAGTGACCTTGGGGACGACTGGCTGAGAAAGACTCGTCTGGTGGAGGACACACTTGTTCTCTTTACCTCTGGCCGGGTCTGGTACTCAGTGGACCAGGTCTGCAGATCATCCTGGCTCCAACGGGCCTCAGGCCCAACGCCCACCAGCTTGACTGTGTAGCTGGAGTTTTCATCCTGCACCAAGCTGGTGACACGTGCTGCATGGTGGTTGCTGAAGATGGGGTATCTGGTCACTCGATCCATCTCAAGGGGTCTGGGTGTGACCTTTCTCCCACGGGTTCGAGATTTCCAGGCTAACTTAGGGAGGAGAAGGACACCAGGTCAGACCACTTAGGGACAGGAACAGCTTCTGGGGGGGGGGCACAGGAGGCCCTCTGATAGGCAACGCTTCTTGAAAGCAATCCTAACCCCAACATGGCATTGCCCCAAAGCATCTGAGCTTCTAGGTCAAACTGTACCTGAATCCCTAAGTACCTCTGCCTCATACAACAAACATTTTCCTTCTAATCTCTGTATTCTCTCTTTCTGAGATATGCTCTGTGGAGATGACAGGCATGTGACATCGCACCCAGCTCCCAGCTGACTCTTGTGGGCACAGCTGCCTACTCATCTAAACAGCCTGCAGGTCCAGTGGCTGCCCCTACCATGTCATCAGCAACACGAATCAAAGCCAGCCCTCATACCTGAGCCTCTGCAGCTCTCCCACCACGGATGCCTCCTGATCCCTGGGTGCAACCCTCATCCCTCACACTAATTCCTAGATGGAAACCTATCTGCTATTTTAGCACCTGACCTTCACAGTCTCCGGGCTCTGTTTCTTGGAGAATGATGATGCCAAGTGGGGAAACTGAGGCGCAGAGAATATAGCAAAGTTCATTTCCCAGCTTACATGTCTGGATCTCCGCGCTCAAGAGCACCTGGTCCCATCTTCACAGCACCATAAAACCAAGAAGAGTTGGGAATACTTTGGACCTTGTCCTTGGACTTGGGTAGGGCTCAGAGCCTTCGATGACACCCTGACCTGGTATCTGGGGTTCAGCCCTTCCCCCAGCTCCTTCCCTGGCACTCACAACTGCTTTCGTTTTTTGTTTCTTCAGTCTCCTGGAGTCTGCAATGCCACCCTGCAGCTGCACTCAGTGCAAGGCAAAACCTGGCTCTGCATCCAGATGCTCACCAAGCTCAGCCAGCGTGCACTGTGAATCGTGCTTCCTGCCCCTTGCTGGGGGACTCTAGGCGGGCTCCACCCGAGCCCTGTCTCTAGCCATTCTTTTTTTTTTTTTGGTTTTTCGAGACAAGTTTCTTTGTGGTTTTGGAGCTGTCCTGGAACTAGACCAGGCTGGTCTCAAACTCAGAGATCCATCTGCCTCTGCCTCCCAAGTGCTGGGACTAAAGGCATGTGTCACCTATGCCCAGCTATCTCTAGCCATTCTTATGCTGTATTTTGAAGTAGAAGGGCCAAGCTTCCCCAATGCTCCTGGCAGTCCTCCTGTGAAGGGCAACCCCTGTGCTGCCCACACTCTGCTCTCCCCTTCACAGTGCCTCAGGAACAGGATGATTCCATTCTGCGTGGGTGGATATTCTGAATGTATACAGCAAACACTTAATAAAGACTGGCTCAATGGACTCTGGTCCAGGGGTGCTGTCTCTCATTTTCTAGCCCAGAGTTGCTGCCACTTACATTTGGGTGCTGACCAATGTGAACACAGAATATTACGGCCCTGTCATGGACAATCAGACATGACCTCTGGAGAAAGGATGTCATTCTTCCCTGGTGATTTAGGTCGGAGGGTGGAGATCTGGGTTGGGATTCAGTTCTCTATGTTACGAGCTGGGCTGGCAGGATAGCCTTGCCAAGGGTCTATAAAACTGAGTTCTTTTTGCTGGGTGTAGTGGCCTACACACCTTTAACCCTAGCACTTGGGATACAGAGGCAAGAGGATCTCTGTGAGTTCTAGGCCAGCTGGGTCTACATAGAGAGACCCTGTCTCAAAAACCCAAAACCAGTATCAGCAGTAGCAACAACAACTACACTTAACTTAGCTCTCTGTGCCTGGTATACAGTAAACACTCAATAGATCCTTCATAGTGGCTATAGGTCTGATTAATGAAATTCTAAATCCAGCAGGGGTTTCAGTGTCTCCTAAGTAGTCACTGCTTAGAGCTGAAGAGACAAGAGTTGGTGGCCAGTCAGCAGAAGCCTTGCTGGGGACAAAGGGCCCTTTCAAGGTCTTCAGCCCCCCACAGGCGTCTGTTGCTAGTTCTTGTCCATCAATTACCTCACATGACAGTGTCCTATTCAAGGACAAGGGGGGCAATTTTGTCTCTTTCTTGAAGGGAACAGAGAGGTGAAGCTGGAAGTTCACAAAGCTGACAAAGCCCATTCTTTCCAAACTATGACCTCCTCCTCCCGGAAGCCTGCTCCACCCAGCCGCACCCTGGAACTGTGGCTCCCCATAGAAACTGCGTTTATGGTCCCTGCAGGCACACCTGCTTGCTCTGGCCTCTTACCCACAGGGCAAAGGCTCCTGGGGGGGGGAGGGCAGTGGGTCACCTGTAGGGTGGTGTCCTTAGGAGTCCTCTGTCCTCTCCCTAAGGGTCTCCTTGTTACCTGGATAGCTGGCCCTGGGGAAACCAGTCCAAGGTTGACCTTTGGCCCTAATACCCTGGACCTGCCTGAGCCTGAACAGCCAGATCCCAGCTCCTTCTACAAATCAGGCCCTGAATCCATGGGGCCTCACAGACTTCTGGCTATGAGGTTGTGTATGGCTCCAGCCTCTTTCTCAGTGATCTGGGGTTTGGGGTACAGATGAATGTCTTATCCTTATAGGCCCAGGGGTTATTTTGGGTTAGTGGGTAACAGAGCATGTTCTCAGATCCAGGAGGAACAGTGGGGCTCCAGGCATGGCCAAGGGTGGTGAGGTATAGCCTGGTGGTTAAGGGGAGGGTGTTCCGGGGCTCCCTGTAAGTGATCCAACTATGCTAGTAGGCACAGCACAAACAGGTCCCCACCTTACCCCATTCTGGCCTCCCTGCTTCCCCAGGCTCACCTGCCAGCTCCAGTTGCCCAGGCCGCCTCCCAGCCTCCCAACCTCAGGCTCTGTCCTCTGCAGGGCTCCGCCCTGGCCACATGTTGCCATGGGGATGGAGGCCCCACCCGGGACCAGGTGCACCCCTCCTCCCTGTCCCCACCCAGACACGGGAAACAAAGTCCAGAGAAGACAGAAAAACGATACTCAGGCGGACGAGAGCGGGCAGTGTGCCCGGCTGGCCTTGGCCCCACAGAGCCGGAACTGCTTCTGCCTGGTTTCCCCACCTTCACCATTCCCAGTCCTGCTGATGGGAGGCTATCTCTGCCCAGGTCACAAGAAAGCCTGTTGCTCCAGTAGAAAGAGGAGATTGAATCCCAAGCCTGTGTTGGCTTGTGGAACCCCTTTGAATGCCTGTCTCTTCCAATGGATGCCCCCTTTGATCCAGCCAGACCAAGGGACATATGTGGATGTTTCCAGCCTCACATGTACCGTGGCTGAAATTATGAAACTCAAGGCAAAGGTCTCACTCAGATCGATGTTCTCTGGGAAGGGTCGGTGGGGCTTTGGCCTGAATCCTGCCCGACCCTGTGAGCCTTGTTTTCTCATCCAGGAAATGAGAATTCTCCAGGTCACATTCACACATTTCACATGAAATATGAAGCTTTCTGAAGTACCCAGTGAGACCACATACAGAGACACAGGACTGTCATCCCAGCACTTAGGAGGCTGAGGCTGTGTGTGGGATTGCTATTAGTTTGAAGACTGCCTTGGCAGTGAGATCTGTCTCCCAAACTCAAAAAGAAACAAAACGCCAGGAACACTGGCCAGACAGGCTTATAGCTCAATGCAATGAGAAGATGGCGATGGCCAAGGCACCTGCCATCCCCCTCTAGGTCCAAGTGGCTCTGGCAGTGTAGGACCTGAGGACACAGTTCTGGGATTCTCCACCTTCCCTTCTGATTTCCTGTTCTCTTCCTTCCTTGACAGATGTGGTACAGAGCCCACCTACCATCTACCATCAAAACCAGGTGTGGGTGCGCCATTTTCACCCAGGGTCCCTTCGGACCCCTTCATCCTTGTTGTCTATCTGACTCTGAAGAGGGGGGCACATCCAATCCCACAGGTCAGGAGGTATGCGAACTAGTAACTTTCACCCCACATCTTAGGCAAACCACTATACAAATCACCTTCCAGAGGGAAACTCATAGTGGCCCCAGATTGACCCCACACACCTGACACCTTGGTCCTCAGGAAACTGAAGCAGGAGGATTGCTGTGAGTGTGAGGCCAGCTTGGGTTACATAGACTTTTCAGTGAAGCCAGGAATGCCCAGTGTGCTGAGGACACAGGGCTCCCAGCCAGCTATTCTACAGATAGGGAAACTGAGGCCAAAGGAGAAAGCTTCTTGAAGACTACAGAGAGAGAGAAATGGGGTCCCCACTGCTCTCAGAACCTAGCTCAGCGTTTGTGGACTTGGGTGTGGCAGATGCGAAGACCAAGGCCCTTGGGGTGGCCGCCCACAGCTGCCCCTCACCTGTCCAGGTGCTGCAGAGTCCTGGGAAGATCCACAGTGAGGGGTCCACCCTGAGGGGTCCTGAGGGGTACAGTGGGTCTCAGGGGAGAGAAGCTTCTCCTGTGTCCTGCTGGGCCAGCGTCTGGCCTTTTTATGGCTCCACCACCAGGAGGCCGCCCTCCTCGCCTGATGGCCGCACCCCTTCCCGCCCAGATGAAACCCAAGAACTGCAGCAATCTGGCTCTGCACACTTACACACTTTTTTTTTTTTTTTAATTTGTTTCTCTGGGAAAGTCAAGAACATGGGGGGGTGAAGGGCGGGGCCTCATCACACGTCAAAAGCAGAAGGGGGCAGCAAGGGCACTTCAGCTGAGGCTCAGGGCTCGAGGGACTCAGGCAGATCTCGGGAGGAAGAAGGGGTGCCATGACCATGGCCACCGGTCACCCCTCAAGGAAGAGTGCCTCTCTCCAGGCCACAGGAAGGACAGGACACAGACTCTGTGGCTTCTGCGTGCCCTACTGCAGCTTCGGGCAGTGATAGGGTCCCACAGGTGGTCCTGCACTCCACACCAGGCTGGAGTCCCAAGGAAAGGGACCTGGACCAGGCGTGGTCCTCTGAAGCCAGTGGGGGTGGAGTGTGTTGAGCCTGCTGCGTCTGTGTGCAGGGCGGCGCCTCTGGGACCGAAGTGGCTGCTGCTGCCTGCCCACAGGTGGGGTGACCCCTTGCCATGGCTCCTGTCCAGCCAGGTGGC